TTTTATTAAGAGCTTTGCGTTAGTTGGAAAACACACTCAAACATCGATTTATACAAATTAAATTCGCCCTATTCACACGAGACCTTTCGTATTGGCATATGACTATTTTCAGGTAGTGGATGAATTCACTACAAAACGCGTTCTGACGGCGGAATATGTCGTTGGAAAACCTGTCGATAAATGTTTGAACGAACCTCAGGTCGTTCGTGACTACATCGCAGCGAAGTTCATTGAACTATGTCTTCACGAGGTATTTTTTTATCCGTCACAAGTGTATCTGCAGTTTTTTCTTCATTTACGAACCTCTCTTCCAGGTTTTCATTTGGAGATTTATGCAAACAGATCCGAACTGGTCAAACTTCTTCCTTGGAGTACATCCAGCAACAGGTTGGGACTTTGCTCGCTTTCTGCTTGAAAATTGATTCATTTCGTTATCCAGGTGAGCCACGGATGGTTCTATTAGATTTTGGTGCATCTCGTTCGTATAACAAGAAATTTGTTGATCAGTACATGAAAGTGATCAAAGCTGCAGCAGATAAAGATAAGGAGAAAGTTATCGAGTGAGTTCCTAGAATTATCAATGGGTTTAGGTGAAGTTTTTGTATTTAGTATTTCTTCCTTGGTCACTTTTTCGCGTGTTCTTATCCGCAGACTAGAATTTTTCAGATACTCAAAAGAAATTGGTTTTTTGACGGGTTACGAAACTGGTGTTATGAAGAAAGCGCATGCTGAATCGGTACTTATATTAGGAGAGACGCTGGCGGGCAACCGTCCCTATGACTTCTCCCGTCAAAATGTTACGAAACGGATCACTCGTCTGATCCCTATAATGTTGGAGCACAGGTTTGCTCAAAGTAACTTTTTAAATATCTAGTACTAATGAATTTTTATTCAGATTGACATCGCCTCCAGAAGAGATATACTCGCTACATCGTAAACTTTCGGGCTCCTACCTCCTGGCCACTAAGCTCAAGGCTGTAGTATCGTGCGGCGGACTTTTCAACGAAATTTATAGTAAGTATGAATTTGGCGAGGATGGGAAAGATATCGACATCGACTCACCTGCAGCTGCATCAGAAATATAAGAAAAGTGGGTGTCTCAGTTGCCCTGGTTACGTCCTTCTTGTCTACTTAATTTTAGATAGATCGTATTGTTAGCGTTAGATTCGGGTACTAGTGCGTAACGCGTTCTTACTTTTTGGTATAAAGATCTTCTATGTCGTTCAAAATTCCTTGAAATTAACAATTTAGTGCATGCATATTCAAGCTCACATTGTTCAATTCTTGTTATTCAGTGAATAGGATTATTTAATTTGTTGTTGTAATGTTTTCAAATTTATTCAAGGGAAATAAAAGGCTTAGCGCGTTTCATTAATTGAATTGAAGCGTCTTTTCGTGATTGTATCGCAACTTGTTCGAAAATGATCAATCATAGTTTCTATATTTTCCTCAATGGCAGGGCACAATGCTGGCATCACTGAGATGTAGCTATGATTTCACGCAGAGAGCTCTTCAAACGCTCAACATCTTCTACGTGGTAAGTGGATTATAA